TTAACAGCAAGGACTTCCCTATAAATTAACTACTGGTTTATTCCTGAAGTAAAAGATATTTATGTTGTTTCAGATGCTTTGACCAAAAAAAAAAGTTAATTAGACTTTACACTACTAAGTTCTCCCCTACTTTATCCACAAAGAGGATCACTTATTTGGGAAACGAATGACAAATAAACAAACACTGCATATCAAGTAATAATGAATTCATTATCTGGTTTATTAATAAAAGGTATGTAAAGAAGTATGATCTATGAAATTCATTCCTTCTATAATTTCTTTGCTTTTCTGTGACAAGCACATAAATTTGACATGAGTTGCCTTATGTGAAATAAATGTCTGATTTCCTTAGCTTCTTGAAAATTCAAAGTTGCACCTAATCCTCCATTAACAAATTTAAAGATGATTAAAAAAAAAAACTGTTCTCAATCTAGCAACAAATGTATACCAAAAAAATAAATAAGTATTATACTTTCTACGCTGATGCAAACAGTCTTATAGAATCACATAATCAAATATATTAAGGATATAAATAACAAAAAATTACCCTCTTTAAATTTAGAATTTGAGAAATATTAAAATGCATTCTATATATCCTATCTGATTTTCTCTCTAAACTAGGCATTTTCACTTAATCCATCTTCTCAATGGATTCTTAATCTAAACCCCAGCATATATAAATTTAGGTAATATTTAATCATTCAATAAATCTCAGACTTCTTTTATTTTTAATCACTACTACAGATCTTTGCCCTATCCCTCAGAAAAACCTTAAATATTATGAGGATATTTTTATGTTTTTGTAGGAAAGAGTATTTAGCTAACAATTTTCTGTGCCTCAGTTTCCTCATTAGTAAAGTGATAAGGTAGGATGGATTCGCAATTTGTATAATTCCCAGCTCTAGCATTCTCTAAATAAATCCCATCTAAAAAAAGCTTTTCTTTCCCTCAAAATTTCAACTTTTTATTACACAGACACTGTCAATCAAGCTTGATTTAATTTGACTCCATTCATTATCACTCAGTAGTCAGCACCTCAATAAATTAACCAGTGTGAAGAGGATTTGTCTCTGAAAAGCAGCAAAGATTTTTAGAAAAAGAAAGGTGACTATTTAGACTTTGTCAGACAGAAATCCTACCCACAAATCTGAAATGGAGTCATGTTTACCCTGTTGTATTTTAGGGATAACAACCTGAGCAACAATGTTGTGGTTCTTCCATTTCAGGCACAAATTGAGGTAAACACTAAACCTAGACATATTCTATCAATAAATTGTAAGCAACCAGACACATTTCTCATTTTTCAATTTCATAATTTTCTTTAAAACTATGGAAATGTTATTATCTCAGAGAGTAACTATTATAAGGTAATCCCTCAGTTAAGTGGTAATTATAAAACAACTTGTCACTTTTAAATATTAATAGACTTAATTTGAAAACTAACAGGAATTTAGGTGAAAATGTCTATAATTAACTGAGTATATATGTGCCACCTAAACTGAGATTATCTGTATATACTTGCATAAAGATGCTTCTCATAAATTGCCTATTATTCTTCATTACTGAATTTTAAAAAATGGTAAGTGACAATATTAATAATAATAGAAGACTCTGCATTTGTTTTCAGAAGCATATCTGATCTTTTAAGTGATTAACTAAGTAATCAAAGGGGCAAACTTGATCTCTTTGCAAGGCTGGGTTAGCACATACTCTGGAAGCCGTACCATTTCACCTGCTGATCCTGGGCGCTCAAAACAATTCTTCATCAGGGCTCACTACCAATTACCAACAACTTTTTGAAAGCTCCTCATAAAATTGATCAACATTTTGCAAGACACTGTATAGGTTTAACTGCCCAAAGTTGGATGCCATTTTAATTCATAAAAATTGATTCAATTAGATATGATTTTTCCTTAGTACTCAATAATAGCTTAAATCTTACGTCTTACTTAAAACTCTCATATAAAGCCATCTATCTTAACATAATCACAGTGTAATCACTATAAACCTCAAGTAAATCCCAGGTTCTTTACATAATAACTAATGGACTAACTGACAAAAAAATAATAATAAATTCATAAGATAACTGATTTATTAACCACAGGGAAACAAATGAAATATAAAATTGAAGTTAATCTAAATGCATATATTAAAAAATACACCTAGTTTTTTTTTTTTTATACTAAATCATTGTAAAGATTAAAAGTTTTGAGTAAGTATGGTAAATATTTCCAAGTTATAGAATTTGGATTTTCAAATTAAAACAATATGGTATGTGTGAGATCACAAATTTTCTTTTAATCCATTCACTTCCAAGAACCTTTCTCCATAAGGTGAGATGCCGCAGGATCCTAAACTATGCTTTTCTTAGAGTCTAACTTTATTATGAACACAGAACTTCTTAAGGCTTTAATGTTTTTCATCCAAGAAAAACAAATTTTATCTGAAAATAGGCTCTTTTTAAAATTATCTTTGGGTTTAGCAACCAAACCACACCACTGCCCCTCACTGAAATCAGTAAGTTTTAGTATGATGCTGGAGTACATTACCTTTTAAAATTAATATAAAATCCTACTGATTGTTACTTTAACTGCAAATCTGAAGTATTAAAACTGGATACTGTGTTTGTTTTTCCCCTATATAGTGATTCAGGCTTTGAAGTCAGTATTTCCTTTATAAACATGAATATACTATTATTTCATTTTTTATGTTTATTAAATGACAGAAGTGCCTATAAAGTAGGTTTAACTAAACATGTGACCTCCCTCTAAGCAACAAGCACCAAGCAACTTGACAAAAAAGGAAAAAAAACTTACAATCTGAATATTTAACTATCTTATCACTTTCAAGACATTTCATCAGAAATGACAGAAACTCAACAACATCTGATCTTTATACTTTGCTATTTCTCACATTACCTGACTTTATAAAAATAGGGATGGGCCTACCATTTATTTGATGCTATATTGAAATGCTTGTTTAAAAGTACTTCAGTTGTGTAGCTAGATTGAAAAAAGAAAATTTATGTGTCAGAAGTGTAGAAATTTGATTGTTTCTGCTATTCTTAGTGCTTTACAAAAAGACCTAATGTGGAAAAGAAACATAAATACCTTCAGAGAAATAATTCCTGAATTTATATAGTGGTGTCTCTTGAGCTTATATTTCGTCTATGTTCACAGATTACTGTCATGGTTTCTATATTTTTAAATAAATAGCTCCAATTACTATCCCCTTGGCCACATGTGAATGTGACATGCTGAAAAAGAAACAGAATGTCCCTTCTTCTTCAATCCAGTGTCCTTTCAAATATTTCTGTAGTTAGAGGGATTTTTAGAGGCCTCATCTACTACAGCAGATGCCTGAATTCCAAATAATAAATAAAACCAGCAGAGGGCAGAACTGCTGACAGAACTCACAAACTCAACTGGTGACCAGGTACCAAAGTTAAGATGCTAACTTTTGAAAGATTCCACTTTCAAGGGCTCTCTTACTTATCCTTGAAAATGTAGAAGAGGATGAATCAATTCTTTATCATTAATATAACTCATTTCATAGTCAAAAACAGTCCTAATTAGGTTCTGACTATATTCACCAGAATACACTGCTACAGAAGAATGATCCAGCACTTCCTGCCACTCAGGAAGGTGAACCGTGAAGGAAGAATACAGACCACTTTTGCAGAGTGTAGTGAACCAGGAGGGAAGAATACAGACCTCTTTCGCAGAGTCTCGTCTCAGGGAGCGCTAACTCACTTCAGAGGGAACTCAGATGTTGGCATTTAGACCCAACACCAGAGTCTCAGGTTTCTGCTAAAACCTGCGCCATTTGGGGTCGACTGTATTTTTTCTCCATCAACCTATCCTCATCATCCTCCTTCCTAAGCCCCAGCTCCTCTGCAGGTCCTCTAACAAAACTCGCCTTTCTCCTCTAAGCTGCTTGGGCTTCCTAAACTCCAAAAGCGCTTGCCCGCCAGCCGGGTCTACAGCACCTAACGGACCGCTCCAGTCAGAGGCTTTTGCGGGAAAGGGCGGGGGTGGGGGAAGGGGAGGGAGGAGGCCTAGGGGAGGAGTAACTTCACTCTCCTGCCTCGGGTACTGACAGAGATGCAGTCTTCAGTGCGGGTCTGGTCATTGAATATTTGGTGGTGCCACGTAGGAACTTTTCCTTACCGCTCCCCTCCCACCCCATCCTACGACCCCTCCCCTTCCCTCCCAACCCCTATTCCTCCATCCCCACCCCAACGGCTTGATGAGTTTCATCATTCTCCAAGAGAACTGCATGTCCAACCTGCAAGAAGAAGGGGGGGAGGGGATCATAGATGGGAGAAGATGACTGAAATTCAGGGAAAAGTATTCTCCTCCCAATCTTGAACCCGTTGTAATGTGCTTCCTTGCAGTCTGCCAATTTTTCCACTTAAAATCTCTTCAAAATGCCAAAAACAGAAAGTGTTCTCAATCTTCTAGATTCATCCCCTTGGTTTCCCTTATATCCCAAAGAGTAAAAACAGCCTTTTTTTCTCACTTTGTTCAAGACAAAGAATTTTATCAAGGTTCATTTTATACCCTCTCTCTACATTTTCTCAACTCACCCTTAAAAAGGTATTTCCATTAATAAGAATCTGAAGAAACTAGAAGAGGTGTTAAGAGCAACCTAAGGACTGCTCTTCAGACAAAAGCTTTGTACAACTGCCCTTCTGTTCAAGGTAGTATTTTTCCTCTTTTCAAAGAGGCTAGAAAGTGATGAAGGGCATTTCAGCAGGCTCTGTGCCTGACAGATCTTTTTTTTTTTCCCTGTTACCTCCTCTCCCATTACTGTCTCGCCTACATCCATCTCTCTCCAGTCTCCACTTCCAACCTGGTGGCAGCTACAATCTGGATTTTATTTAAGGGAATTGTTTTTAGGGGGTGGGAGGAGAAAGGAGGAGTGGTGAAAGGGGGAGGGGCGCAGAAGAAGAAAGACCGACGGCAATCTCCCACCTCCCCAAATCCATTTTTTCTTACCTCCTCTGACCTCTCTAGCCTGGAAAAGGAAGGTCAATGCGAGGGTTGTTACGGTGAAATCCCAGAGCCACCGTTTCGTTTTCCACCTAGAGGACCACCGCTCCATCTCCGAGCCCCGCGCTCACAGCTGTGAACTCAACCCACAAAATTGCGATTGCAGACCAACTTCGTCCCTTCCACGGTATCGCCGGGGACGTTCGCTACACAGCCATTGGAGCGGGAGAGTGGGGGAAAGTCAAAGTGGTTTTCTTTTAAATTTGATGTTTGCTTCCTTCCTGCCCCTCGCCCCTGTCCTCTCCTTCTCGGACGGCCCTGTTGGTAGGGACCCTCCGATCCGTCCTCCGCCGGGCCCTGCCTTCAGACTGAAGGCAGATGAGGGGCTTCAACCAAAAGGCAGAGAACACTGCTCGCCCCTAAAGGCTTCATGCCGTCAGTGGGCCGGACGTGAGACTCCGGGCAGCCCCCTCTCCCGCCCACTCCCCTCCCTGCGCCCCCCTCCTAAAGCCCCCCCTACCCCTGGCGAAACTGACTAGCCGGCTGAGGGTCAGACCCAATCACACGCCTCTCGGGCCGCCCCGAGCCCGCCCCCTCTCGCTCGGCCCAAGAATCAGGACTGCAGGCTGGCCCAGCCCACCAGCCATCCCCCATCTCCCCACTCCTCTCCTCCCTCCTCTCCTGCCCAAATCCCCGAAAAGAAATGGGAGGGAGCTACAGGGGACGCGTGCTTGGCTCCAGCACTTTGGGAATGAAAGGAATTGCAGGAGAGCCCTGGAGCCCACAGAGTTTTCAAGGAGCTTCTGTATTCAATAAAAACAGCTACTTGTCTTCTTGCACCCGTCTGTTAGCCTCGCGTTCGTCGGCGGGGGAAGGGAGGAGCCAGTGTCTGATCGGCCACACCGCTGGAGTCCTGGGCTGGCAGCCGTAATCTTATCCCCGTGCAAAAATCTGCTTCTTATGGCAGCCGTGGAACCGGCGGACTCGTTGCTCTGCCTACTCCGAAAAGTATTTTCATTCTCTCTTTTTAGACTTAGAATTAAAAGAAAGGGATAAAGGTGGTATGGAGGGATTCTAGAGACCAAAACCTAGGAGTTTGTAGAGAAGCTCGCCCTTGGGATCCGAAACAGAGCTTTCTTTCTTAAATGCTTAAATTCAGCACTAGGTTGATTCAGGGGCTCTTTTTATAGAGAGCTCAACTGCACTGAGGAGGAGAAATAAATTTATGAGAGTTGACATTAAGGGGTGAGTAATTTAATTTTCCAGCTGATTCTGCCCTGATTCCCGATGGGGAGGGGGTGAAAGAAGAGGCAAGGAAAGCAACTACTAGAGATCTCCAAGGGTCCATGCCCACACCTCCTCATAAAGGACCTGGCCATGGCCCTTAGCCTGGGGAGCTGAAAACGTGGTCACTCTGCAATAAAAGTAATGAGGATGGGCAGGTTTATAAATTTCCTCTCTACTTACCCCTCCTCAAAGTAATCCACTTTAACGTAGAAAATATTCCCTAGACATTTTTTTCCACGTTCAAATAATTCCATCCTATTGGATTTGTTGGAAACCCTGTTGGCATAGTGGTTAAGAGCTACGTCTTCTAACTAAAAGGTCTGCGGTTCGAATCCACCAGGTGCTCCTTGGGAACTCTATGGGGCAGTTTTTCTCTGTCCTGTAGGGTTGCGATGAGTCGGAATTCACTCCACTGCAGTTGGTTTGTTGTTTGTTTTGGTTTATTGGCTCTGTTTTGTTCCTTAATATTTCCTAAGAAATGTCTCTCAAAGATTTTTTGGAACAGTGTCCAACAAGGTGCCAGCATACAACAGGCACTCAATAGAGATGTGTTTAATGAATGAATTCATTATTTTTCATTGTTGGCAAAGATTGGAAGCCTTGGCCAGGACCAATGCTGAGTATTCAACTTAACTAATTTTAAGGATTCTCAACTAATTTTACCCAGCACATCTGTTCAGTTTTGTAGCTGTCACTAATCTTTAGGAACCCAACTTTCTGTGTCATCAAAATATCCCTCATGACCTGTCAGATCATATGTGATCTCTTCATGAAGTTTAAAAGTTGGAAGGAAAGTAATCAGAGATTGTTTAACAATGTTGCTGTCGAGTCAATTTTGACTCATAGGGACCCTGCAGAACAGAGTAGAACTGCCCCATAGGGTTTCCAAGGAGCACCTGGTGGATTCTAACTTCTGACCTTTTGGTTAGCAGCCAAACTCTTCATCATTATGCCACCGGGGTTTCCAACAACATGAATAGAGGTATATAAAATAAGGAATGCAACTAGAAAATATCTTCAATATAAATGTAACTGTTTGTGATAAAGAACTACTCTTCCTTATCATGATATTTACCTCTTCGATCTCAGGCAAAACTACTGTATATTACAATGCTTATGGCAAAAAGTTTGGGATGCCATATCATCTGCAGAGAAAGACACCAACTAGCTTTTCAGATTGCTTTAACATGCAATTGTTAACATAATTTAATAAAATGTAAGATAGTGAAATCAATTCAGCCAAAGTTTAGAAATGCATATTTGTGGAGCTGCCAGAATCCTAAATCAGTTCAGTAGCTAGCAAGAGTTACAGTGCTTGCAGGCACATGTAGAAATGGTGTTCCAAATTGTTTCTCAATAGCACTCCTGATTTATTGAGAGTTCCATGGCTTAATACCATTCTAGAAGGCGAGAAATGATGCAGTCAGTCTAGCAGGCCCCACCTTTGGTCCCATCTCAGGCCTTCTCACTACTGTGAAAGAGTCCTTTCAGACAAAGTATCTTGGGTGAATAGAGTTATTACTACCTTATGCTCTCTGTACTCTGTGGTCTGAATTCCTCTGGCCACTGCCCAGCTAGGCATAACCTGGGTCTGAATTAATGCCTCTGGAAAAAAACATAGTAGATTCGTAGTGAGAAGTAACTATGTCTAACCCCTCTAGCCTGTAGCCAGCTGCCAGATCTAAACCTTCCCAGGAACCTGTCCGTGGATTTACAGGAGATGAACTCAGTAAAAGGGAAGATAAAACTAAGCAACAAAGGGAGCAGAGGAAAGCTGGAAGAGTCCACCTCGACTATGTTGAACTGCACACTGGGGGACTTGCAGTGGCAGTTTCCTGGGCCACCTTTCAGCCAGTCCTCGCTAATTGTTTATGCATAGATTCAAAATGTAATAGAATATGACGGTTTGGCCTGACACAGGTCTTTAGTTTGAAGCACAATTAGAGATATGACATTTCCTATTTTGTCACATTAAAAAGCAATGTTGAAAGATATTTGTTCAACTTTGTAGAATTAGTTCCCATTGCAAGGCATTCAAAAACAAGACAGAAAAATGTTTAGAGAAAAAGCAGTCATTACCTTGGTAGCAATATTTTAAATGGACAATTTGTCTATATTGGCCTGTCCATGAAACTGAGATGATAATTTAATAATTGATTGAGAGATCAGAATAGAGAAATGTTAATGTTTTAAACAAACTTCAGGGTCCATGGAGCTTTATTAAACATTGTAAAAAGTTCATTGATCCCTCTAAACCAAAAACGAAACCCGTTGCCATCGAGTGGATTCCGACTCATAGCGACACAAATCTCCAGGAATCAGGGGACCCGGATTCAGAACCAATGTTTTAAATGTAAGGACCTCAGTAATCAAACTAAGACTGAAAACACCTTGTCCATAGCTGGATGACCCCAATACAAACAGTATTAGAATGTCAGAGGTAGAGAGAACTTTATAAAGGCCTTATGCTACTACAGGTAGAATATGGGGAAAGAGGAAGTACATGAGATAGCAGGATTTTGGAAATGATGCATCATTTTTTACACCGCTTGGCATTCACTTCCTTTTTTTTTCATGCTGATATTTTATTCTTCCTAGCTATAGTGTTTTTGTTGCCCTTGTATTTTTTAAACCTTTTCTCCAAACATTTTACTGTAATTAAAATTATTGCATCAAATTAGACTTACTGAATATGAAGATATTAAAGAAAAAGGAAAATTAAAATAATTTTTTAAAATTCTTACACACACCAGAAATTCTTAAAACTTCTAAAAGAAAATTGCTTTTGAATGTAATCCCTCTCTTACTGTGCTTAATGGCCAGGCTTTATTGCTCTTTTCGGAACTTTAGGTCAATTATTTTAAGAAAGAAATGACTAAGCAGTTTGACATTCATTTTACAGTTTTTCTAATACACGAGTGGTTAAAGATTAGTCTTCTGTTTAAAAAGTGAGTTAGTCCCTCCTACCACACAGATGGGCCTTTGTATTGTAGAAAGTGGGGGAGGGCCCAGGGACAGAGAAGTTTATTTCCATAGTCTAGCCTAGCTCACAAGAACCCCACAGTGATGATTGGGTATTTTTGGGCACTTTTACTCTCAAATAACTTACAGAACTTCAGAGGTATCCAAATTTAGCCCAATTTCCATGATACAACAGAATCCTCTGATGAAATGTTTGGTTTGTTGGAGGGTTGACGGAGCCAACTCAGAGATGACAGATTCACCCTTAAGAAAAGACCTAAAATAAAATAAAATCTAAATAAACCCCAAGCAAGCAAGGAATATGGCCTTGTACATTCATGTACATCTCTGTAAAAAGTATCTTTTAGTTAGCTGTATTCATAGGAAGCTATCACAGTTCTTTTTCGTAATTGTCCAATAAAAGATAAAAAGGTAGAACACATGTGAATGATTCAGGGCAAAAACGCAGATTTTTTTTGGCTATCAAGATATCTTTTCTCTGTGTATCTTTTTTCTTCTTATCTGAATGGGTATGGCATTTACTAAGCTCTTGGAATGTCCTGAAAATATGTGTGTCAGCAAAAATATAACATGACTTTTTAGGAAGTGGTTTAGGACAGCATCGACACCCCTATCAGTGCACGCAGAGTATGAGATTTTAAACATTTAGTGAACCACATGTCATAGATAACAGAAGTACCATACCAATGTTCTAGGGTAAAAACATCACAAAGTTTAGTAAAGCAAAAAGAAACTTTTATTCGGCATATATTCAAAAACGCAAATTTGGGAAATGGACAAGCATGCTGCCAGAGCTAGTGTCTGCCAGAGTCCAAGGAATATACAGAATAGACAAGAGTCGGAAAATGGACAAGCATTCTGCTAGAGCTAAGTCTGCCCAAATCCAAGGAATGTTACAGAGTCATCAGTATATATTAACATTACAAATGGACAAAACTATTGAAAGCTTCACCTTCTTACGCATTGGCTAGAAACTGCCATATCTCCGTGACTCTACATTTTGAATTGTCTTTCTTAATAATCATTGGTACAGGTTTCAGTAATGACAGT